CACTCCAGAAGTATGTTCAGGTGCCAGTACTGACCGAATTTGTTCCCATAAGAAATATTGTGAAGTAGATTAGTCCATTTCAGACCCCCAAACATACACATACAAACGCACTTACATAAATACACTTACATAATTGGTCACATTCGGAGGTAATCGTTATGCGGGGGTCCACTGTATATATATATATAATATATATATATATAATATATATATATATATATATATATATAAATATATAAAATATATATAAATAATATATAATATATATATAATATATATATTTTATTATTATCACACTGGCTGATTCCCACCAAGGCAGGGTGGCCCGAAAAAGAAAAACTTTCACCATCATTCACTCCATCACTGTCTTGCCAGAAGGGTGCTTTACACTACAGTTTTTAAACTGCAACATTAACACCCCTCCTTCAGAGTGCAGGCACTGTACTTCCCATCTCCAGGACTCAAGTCCGGCCTGCCGGTTTCCCTGAACCCCTTCATAAATGTTACTTTGCTCACACTCCAACAGCACGTCAAGTATTAAAAACCATTCGTCTCCATTCACTCCTATCAAACACGCTCACGCACGCCTGCTGGAAGTCCAAGCCCCTCGCACACAAAACCTCCTTTACCCCCTCTCTCCAACCTTTCCTAGGCCGACCCCTACCCCGCCTTCCTTCCACTACAGACTGATACACTCTTGAAGTCATTCTGTTTCGCTCCATTCTCTCTACATGTCCGAACCACCTCAACAACCCTTCCTCAGCCCTCTGGACAACAGTTTTGGTAATCCCGCACCTCCTCCTAACTTCCAAACTACGAATTCTCTGCATTATATTCACACCACACATTGCCCTCAGACATGACATCTCCACTGCCTCCAGCCTTCTCCTCGCTGCAACATTCATCACCCATGCTTCACACCCATATAAGAGTGTTTGGTAAAACTATACTCTCATACATTCCCCTCTTTGCCTCCAAGGACAAAGTTCTTTGTCTCCACAGACTCCTAAGTGCACCACTCACTCTTTTTCCCTCATCAATTCTATGATTCACCTCATCTTTCATAGACCCCATCCGCTGACACGTCCACTCCCAAATATCTGAATACATTCACCTCCTCCATACTCTCTCCCTCCAATCTGATATTCAATCTTTCATCACCTAATCTTTTTGTTATCCTCATAACCTTACTCTTTCCTGTATTCACCTTTAATTTTCTTGTTTTGCACACCCTACCAAATTCATCCACCAATCTCTGCAACTTCTCTTCAGAATCTCCCAAGAGCACAGTGTCATCAGCAAAGAGCAGCTGTGACAACTCCCACTTTGTGTGTGATTCTTTATCTTTTAACTCCACGCCTCTTGTCAAGACCCTCGCATTTACTTCTCTTACAACCCCATCTATAAATACAGTGGACCCCCGCATAACGATGGCATCACATAGCGATTTTTCCGCATACCGCTTACTTTTATCGCAAAATTTTTTGCCGCGCATACCGATTAAAAACCCGCTCACCCATTTTCGTCCGAGACGCGTCCAATGTGCCCTCAGCCAGCCTCACATGTGCCGCCCGTCCCATTGTTTACCAGCCAGCCTCCGCGGTAACATCCAAGCATACACTCGGAATATTTCGTATTATTACAGTGTTTTCGGTGCTGTTTCTGGAAAATAAGTGACCATGGGCCCCAAGAAAGCTTCTAGTGCCAACCCTGTGGTAAAAAGGGTGAGAATTAGTATGGAAATTAAGAAAGATTTTGAAGGGTTTGGGGCTAACCCTGAGAAGCCTATGCCAGTTGTGGAATCCATTGTGCCTACTTCAAAGATTAAGGAAATGTGTGCACAGTGGGTTGAACTGCAAACCTTTATGGATGAAAATCACCCTGACACAGCTGTTGCAAGCCGTGCTGGTGACTATTTCAATGACAATGTTGTGGCCCATTTAGACAAATCGTAAAGGAACGGGAGTACAGAGCTCTATGGACAGATTTGTTGTGCGACAGAGGTCCAGTGACTCTCAAGCTGGTCCTAGTGGCATTAAAAGAAGAAGGGAAGTAACCCCGGAAAAGGACTTGCTACCTCAAGTCGTAATGGAAGGGGATTCCCCTTCTAAACAGTAAGAAGATAATGCTCTCCCCTCCTCCCATCCCATCAATCATCACCAGATCTTCAATAAAAGTAAGTGTCATGTAAGTGTGCATGCCTTTTTCAGTTTGTGTGTATTAAAATTAATATTACATGTGGTAAAAAAATTTTTTTTTCATACTTTTGGGTGTCTTGCACGGATTAATTTTATTTCCATTATTTCTTATGGGGAAAATTCATTCACATAACGATTATTTCGCATAACAATTACCCCTCTTGCACGGATTAAAATCGTTAACCGGGGGTCCACTGTATATTAAACAACCACGGTGACATCACACATCCTTGTCTAAGGCCTACTTTTACTGGGAAATAATTTCCCTCTTTCCTACATACTCTAACTTGAGCCTCACTATCCTCGTAAAAACTCTTCACTGCTTTCAGTAACCTACCTCCTACACCATACACTTGCAACATCTGCCACATTGCCCCCCTATCCACCTTGTCATACGCCTTTTCCAAATCCATAAATGCCACAAAGACCTCTTTAGCCTTATCTAAATACTGTTCACTTATATGTTTCACTGTAAACACCTGGTCCACACACCCCCTACCTTTCCTAAAGCCTCCTTGTTCATCTGCTATCCTATTCTCCGTCTTACTCTTAATTCTTTCAATAATAACTCTAACCATACACTTTACCAGGTATACTCAGCAGACTTATCCCCCTATAATTTTTGCACTCTCTTTTGTCCCCTTTGCCTTTATACAAAGGAACTATGCATGCTCTCTGCCAATCCCTAGGTACCTTACCCTCTTCCATACATTTATTAAATAATTGCACCAACCACTTCAAAAACTATATCCCCACCTGCTTTTAACATTTTCTATCTTTATCCCATCAATCCCGGCTGCCTTACCCCCTTTCATTTTACCTACTGCCTCACGAACTTCCCCCACACTCACAACTGGCTCTTCCTCACTCCTACAAGATGTTATTCCTCCATGCCCTATACACGAAATCACAGCTTCCCTATCTTCATCAACATTTAACGATTCCTCAAAATATTCCCTCCATCTTCCCCAATACCTCTAACTCTCCATTTAATAACTCTCCTCTCCTATTTTTAACTGACAAATCCATTTGTTCTCTAGGCTTCCTAACTTGTTAATCTCACTCCAAAAAACTTTTTCTTATTTTCAACAAAATTTGTTGATAACATCTCACCCACTCTCCTCATTTGCTCTCTTTTTACATTGCTTCACCACTCTCTTAACCTTTCTTTTTCTCCATATACTCTTCCCTCCTTGCATCACTTCTACTTTGTAAAAACTTCTCATATGCTAACTTTTTCTTCCCTTACTACTCTCTTTACATCATCATTCCACCAATTGCTCCTCTTCCCTCCTGCCCCCACTTTCCTGTAACTACAAACTTCTGCTGAACACTCTAACACTACATTTTTAAACCTACCCCATACCTCTTCGACCCCATTGCCTATGCTCTCATTAGCCCATATATCCTCCAATAGCTGTTTATATCTTTCCCTAACTGCCTCCTCTTTTAGTTTATAAACCTTCACCTCTCTCTTCCCTGATGCTTCTATTCTCCTTGTATCCCATCTACCTTTTACTCTCAGTGTAGCTACAACTAGAAAGTGATCTGATATATCTGTGGCCCCTCTATAAACATGTACATCCTGAAGTCTACTCAACAGTCTTTTATCTACCAATACATAACCAACAAACTACTGTCATTTCGCCCTACATCATATCTTGTATACTTATTTATCCTCTTTTTCTTAAAATATGTATTACCTATAACTAAACCCCTTTCTATACAAAGTTCAATCAAAGGGCTCCCTTTATCATTTACACCTGGCCACCCCAAACTTACCTACCACACCCTCTCTAAAAGTTTTCTCCTCCCTTTAGCATTCAGGTCCCCTACCACAATTACTCTCTCACTTGGTTCAAAGGCTCCTATACATTCACTTAACATCTCCAAAATCTCTCTCTCTCCTCTGCATTCCTCTCTTCTCCAGGTGCATACACGCTTATTATGACCCACTTCTCGCATCCAACCTTTACTTTAATCTACATAATTCTTGCATTTACACATTCATATTCTCTTTTCTCCTTCCATTACTGATCATTCAACATTACTGCTACCCTTCCTTTGCTCTAACTCTTTCAGATACTCCAGATTTAATCCATTTATTTCCCCCCACCGAAACTCCCCTACCCCCTTCAGCTTTTTTTCGCTTAGGGCCAGGACATCCAACTTCTTTTTCATTCATAACATCAGCAATCATCTGTTTCTTGTCATCTGCACTACATCCACGCACATTCAAGCATCCCAGTTTTATAAAGTTTTTCTTCTTCTCTTTTTTAGTAAATGTCTACAGGAGAAGGGGTTACTAGCCCATTGCTCCCGGCATTTTAGTCGCCTCATACGACACGCATGGCTTACGGAGGAAAGATTCTTTTCCACTTCTCCATGGACAATAGAAGAAATAAAGAAGAACAAGAGCTATGTAGAAAAAGGAGAAAAACCTAGATGTATGTATATATATATGCATGTGTATGTCTGTGAAGTGTGACCAAAGTGTAAGTTGGAGTAGCAAGATATCCCTGTTATCTAACATGTTTATGAGACAGAAAAAGACACCAGCAATCCTACCATCATGCAAAACAGTTACAGGTTTCTGTTTGACAGTCATCTGGCAGGATGGTAGTACTTCCCTGGGTGGTTGCTGTCTACCAACCTACTACCTACTCACTCTTATCTAACACATTTACTGCAGGTACCATTCCAACAGCACGTGAAGTCATAAAAGTCACTTGCTTTCACTCATTCCTATCTAACATGTTTGCTGCAGGTACATTTTGTTAAAATTATCATTTGTGATAACAGGAATGTGTATGAATGGCTTGAAGGGATATTGGAAGCAATGGCCAAAAAACACCAACTGAATAGTCCCACATTTCTGGCCAAGAATCTGCATTTATATCCAGACTTTCATGGCAATAGATCTCCTCTGGCTGACCCCTCCATGGTGGGAATGGTATGTTAATCTGCCAATTTTATAATATTAGTATTTTATCTCAACAGCCATCCTCTGCCAAGACATCGTGACTCAAAGAATAAAGCATTTTCACAACACACTATTAGTCAATGTTTTACCAGAAGGGTTCTGACATCATGATTAGATTATGGGCAGAATCGTTAGGTATGTTTTCTTACACATGCTGTCCCTGTTCATCTAGCAGTAAGTAGGTGCCTGGGTGCTAGTCACATTACACCTGCTGTCCCTGTTCACCTACAGTAAGTAGATACCTGAGTGTTAGTCACTTTACATCTGCTGTCCTGTTCACTTAGTAGCAAGTAGGTACCTGGGTGTTAGTTGACTGGTGTGGGTCACATCCTGGGGAACAAGATTGAATAACCCCAATGGAATTTAAGTTGTAATGAAAGGGTAACTCAGAATCTTTCAAATTTTTATTTTAGATTTTTGCAGTACACAGATGATGTAGTTTACATGTAATAAAATATTAGGCATAAAATAAAACCAGTAATATACAAGCCAATAATTTAGTCTGCCCATAATGCCATGGCATGATAGTGGCTCTCTCTGCACTGCAAATCATTATTGTAACTACAGAATCTCAATGTAAACATGGAAAGAAATAAAAATTGTATTGTACTGTATTAAATTCACTTAAATTGTTGCTAATTGGAAGTAATTTTTATGCATTTTATTATGAAATAATTTGCATTCATCACTAAGAAAAAATATAAAAATTGCTATTAGTAATAGAACAGATATAGTGAAGTATAAATTTTAAATATAATCATCTTCAGATGCTTCTTGTTCTACAATGGTTCTGCTTATGATATTTTGACTTTACGATAGTGCAATAGCGATGCTGTACAGCACTGTACATTTATTGATAGGATAAACTTTCAGTCATTTATTTACTTTTCATTACTGGTATTTAGTTAATTATTTGCTTATTAACAGTTACTTATTTATATATTTATCATATACAGCCTCTCCTTACTTAGCAATGTACTCGTTTACCGACCTCTCGAACTTATGACCAGCTCTTCAGCCAGTATGCAAACCTAAATAATTTATATTAGAGCTGATTTCCTCTGTTCTTTTTATTACATCATATACAGTACACTACTGTATAAACATTTGAAAATATAGCAGAAATGTTATAAATAGTGCAAAGGTGACATTAAAAAAATATCTAAAGATGGTTGACACAAACGCACAACCATTACAGTATGCTCCTCACTTAGTGACGAATTCATTTAGCGACTTGGTCTTAGGCACAGAACTCCGTTGTTAAGTGAGGAGAGGTTGTATTCATGTTTGACTTATGATATATTCAACTTATTTGCTCATCAGAACGTAACCCCATCATAAATTGAGGACCATCTGTATTTTGTTTAGAGAAATTAATTCATTAGTGTACAAGGTGAAATGGACAGCTAATACACCTAATTATGTACATTAATATTAAAGCAGAGTTTTGTTTATCAGTGGTTATAATAAATGTAATATTTTTTTGAAAGAGAATATGGGCAAGGCAAATATTTTAGGCCAAACTAAAGTAAATTTAAAATTTGTAAATTATACGCTATAAAAAGTAAAGAAAACTAACTAAAAATAATTAGTAAACTGGTACATCCTACAGTTTGAATTACAAAAAACTTTCAGTGTGGAAGTTGTGTTACAGAGAAATATTTTGTACTCTAAATTTGTACAGTATGGTGCCTATAATGCATAGAAAAAGTGATTAAATAACCTCAAAGTTAATAATGGTTTCCATTCCCACCCTAAAGTTCAGAGAGTCCTCGATTTAAACTTTGTAATGTGTGTGCGTGCATGTGTAGGGACGAGGGTGATTTCTTTTCACATTCATTGTCATTGGTGACTTCAAGGTCTCTTTCTTAGTCTGATGACTTTGTTATGTTATAGTTAGTATTCTGTTTGCGGCCTAGTTCTGCTTTCACCCATTACTTACTATAAAATAATATTTACTTTCTTACAGATTGAACAGCTTATTTTTCTTAATAGAACTCTGAAATCTAATGGCAACTCAGGAAAAAACATTTTCACCTCTATCCACTATAAATCACCATTACCAGCCTCTCACTCTCAATAAATTTAGGTTTTATTTGTTACAAACACATTTAGGATGCTGTACATGGTAAAAATATTTTTATTTACTTTTTAACACACTGGCCATCTCCCACTAAAGCAGATGGCCTGAAAAAGAAGAAATATTTTCTGAAAGTTTTTCTTTTTACATTTAGTAAATTATACATGAGAAGGGGTTACTAACCCCTTGCTCCCTGCATTTTAGTCACCTCTTACAACACCCATGGCTTACAGAGGATGGATTCTTCTCCACTTTCCCATGGAGATAGTAAAAATATGAGTTAAGTAATTTGCTGACAATGTACACATGACCACTTGGAGGCAAGTGGTGTGTATGACTTGTGTACTGTTGGAGTGTGAGCAAGGTAACATTTATGAAGGGATTCAGGGAAACCAGTTAGCCAGACTTGAGTCTTGGCAGTGGGAAGTACAGTACCTGCACTCTGAAGGACAGAGGAGACTGTTGCAGTTCAGGGGTTATTTGAACTATGATGTGACCATGTTTCTGGCAAGAGTGATTGAATGAATAATGGGGAATGTTTTTCTTTTAGTTACTCTACCTTGGTGAGAGATGGCTGGTGTATTAAAAATATAGAAAACATGTATTTAATTTTAGTGAGAGAAATAATGGCTCCAGATGTTCTGTTTCAGATATGTGGTCTCACTCTGGCCTCAAGTATGCAGGACTTAGCTCTGTTGTATCTAGCAACTCTGCAAGCATTAGTTGTGAGTATTAAAATTATTTATTATACTAGTAGTTAATGTTTTAGCTTTGTTGTGTGTTGTGTATAACATTTTTAATTGTCAGCAGCAAATGGGAATTATTCATTAAACTCTACATGTACTAACCTCCAGAAGTAGATCCTCACCCATTATGAGTGAGCATGTTACTTCTCAGTAAGCAGGAAACTAATGCTCAACTCGTTTCAGTAGCACCAGGCTAGTATAACTTTGTTTGTGCTCTCTAGAACCTGAAAACCTATAGATATTCCCAAATTATTTATTACTCCAGTGACTGTTTGCTTTGGTTTTGGATACACTTTGAATTGTCACTTGCACATCCCATAAAACAATACAATTTGCTATAAACTTACTCCAGTTCTGGTTCACCATCTAAGGCATTGCATTATTTATCACAAGTGGACTGTTAACATATTCTTCACTCCTTAAGTAGCAGCGATGCATACTTGACGAATTTATTCCATGAAATTGTAATCTTTCCTTTTCGACCCCCCAACAGTGGCTACGTTTCCAACCCCAACGATTTACTTGAATCACCAAAATAAAATGGTCGCTTGGATAAACGTTCATGCGGGGTCCACTGTAAATTCTATGGCATTCTTCTTGCATTTGAGTCTCTCTTCTTTTAATTATAGTCAAGTTTGTGGTGTAGCTCTAGTCTTCTATTCTCTTTCCATCCCTTCCTTTATCCAAATAAATAATGTGAATACTAAACTATAAGATTGAGATTAATGGTATAAAATATTGACTCTGGGAAAAAAAAAAAATACAGATGCAGTATAATATATCTTTTATTGACATCCTACCCACACAGTGGGCTTTTATGACTTCATAAACTCACTGTGTGAGTGAAATGTTGTCAATAAAGGATCACATTATGCAGCCTTTGTCTTTTCCATTAAACTGTTCTCTTAAAAGTACATTACCCCCAGGTTAAATAGAACTTTTTTCATTTATAGTAGTTCAGGTTGCCAGTACATGATCGTTTTTTTCTGCATAAAGCAATATTGGGGAGAGGATTAGGCCATTTCAGACACTAACACTCCGTACAAATACTTCTTCATATGTCACTTCATAATTTCTCTCCATTATGGAGGTGATCGTTTAAGCAGGGGTCTATTGTATAGTACTATGCCCACTGGTGGTTTATAAATTTATAAATATGTTGATTAATTTATTTGTGTTGATGTCTGTATATAATTTACATATTGTGTTTTAAATAATAACTGATAGCTTTTATATATGTAAAATGCAATTGGTATCTTGGGTCAAATTAATTTGTGGCTAAGAACTGAGTATGGTAACAAAATTGTGTACAAAGAGTGGAAGCTCCAATTATTCTCCTTCATCCAACTCATGGATGTGATTATATATAAGTTTTTTTTTTTTACATAGTACTCAGTTTAGTTGTTATTTTGTGAAGTTGGAGTTAGTTTTTTGGGACTTGCTTTGTATTCATTGAGAATAATATATTTAGCACTTAGGTTTTTATTATAATAATAATATATAGTTTTTAAAAGGGAAAAATTTTAAATATCCATTAGTCATCTTGGAGCTTTATTTTTTAATTTTTGTGCTAAGAACTGTAATGTTATGAGTAAAGGCAATGGTGTACAAAGAGAATTTAATTCAAATTAATTACCACCTTTGATAACAAAACCACAGGAATAGTAACCCTATAATAAGTCATTTTCTTTTATGTACATACCTGTGTTCAGTTTAATTGAAAAATTAGTACAGAAAGTGGAGTTACACTTTCACTGAGGGAAAACTTTACGGCTTCTCTTTAGCTTTGGAACTGCCACCATAGCTACTTTTGCCCTTTTGAGCCATTTTAAAAAAAAATTTAAAGGTTTTTTTTTGGGGTGGGATAACTGAAAAGAATATGTGGGTTCAGGGGGCTACGTATAAAACAAAAAATAATTTTTGTCATTTAGTCTTAATTAGGTTTTAAAATTTTCCGTTATGCTCTGCATGAATGGCTTTGCATGCATAACCTGTGTCACCCCTGTGTACAACATTGTATAGCTGAAATATTCTTTGAGGCTTTTTGCAGTATTTCAGGTTCAACATGCCATTGCAAAGTTCAAAGTGTCCGTGTGCATTCTTTTAGCTCTAAAAATAATCGAGTTGATACCTTGAAGCCTCTTTGCTGTGACGTTACAAGAGAAACTTTTGTTTTTCTTTTTGGGCCACCCTGCCTCGGTGTGATATGGCTGGTTTGTTGAAAGAATGAAGGTACAACATCGATTTTATGGACACTGAGGGTCTGGAAACTTATAATCCATGCAAATTTATAAACAGGAACTTGGAATTCTCATGGCAGTGTATTAACCACCCTACTGTATGTGACCTATCCAAGACCAAGGAATGCTTTTGCTCTCTAAAGGTGGAAAACTCTGTAAACTGGAAAGGTTTTGGAACCAAGGGGGTCTGGAAAATCGATGTTGTACTTGTATGTAATAATGCCCAAAACAGTGCTGCAGCAACATAAGAGAAAAATCCTTTGTTTCTATATAGCCTCTTATATGATTACAGAGTACAAATAGGTAAAATCATTGAGATTGAAGACAAGGAAATATAAGATGAGATGTTACCTGTACTCAAGGTCAAATTAGAAATAGTGTTTCTCTGATATTGCAATATTTTTCTTCAGATTTTTTTTTTTTTTGCATTTTTAAAGATGAATAAATGTAGGATCTGTTGCCTGTACTTAATAATAATTGAATTTGTTTCCTCAATATTATTATGATTATTTTATTAATAAAATTGAGAAGTACTTTTCTGTTTGGTTTATGGCCCTTAAATGTTCTCATTGATAAAAATTAGTCAATGGGCATTCAGTAGTGATATAACTGAAGTTTGCTACTGGCCATATTTCCTTTATAGAAAATTGAATGTGAATAATTTCACCAGTGTGGTAACTGGTTCATCTGAAAAGTGAACAGGAATCTAAATTAAAATTCAGACAAGATATTAAATGAGAAACTGAGAAGGGTCATATAGTAGCACTAGTCTGGAAAGAGTGATTAAGACATATACATCTTGAATTGTAGATGATTCACCAACCAGTGGCTTCATCAATACAAATTCTAAGATATAAATTGAAGACATTATAATCACAAGGAAATGCTAAACCCATAGGACTATATAACATGTAGGGGACTGGAAGGTATTCAGGGAGCCAGAGCACAGATGTAATTCCCTAGAGAAAGAGAACCTCACCAGCATCAAGGAACTTCCCTTGATGGGTGAAGACATTAGAATTATATATAAAAGATAAGGTAATTAGTCCCTCAGCCTTTGAGTTGGTGTGTAGAGCACTACAGTTGAGTTTCTGGAGCTCATGTGTCTAATTTTCATCTTGTCAATATTGTATTATTATTATTATAATCAAAAAGAAGCGCTAAGCCACAAGGGCTATACAGCGCTGCAGGGTAGGGAAGGAAGCAAGGGAATTGGATGGCAGGAGGGAGGGGGGATGATCAGCAGGTTACAGAAAACAGCGGGGCAGGGGATAGTACGGGGGTAGAGGGTAGCAAGAGATACAAGTAGAAAGGACTGAAAGTATCAGAATTTGTGAAGTAAGTCAGTCGTTGTCAAAAAGTCAATAAGAGAGTCCGGATGAAAGGGGGGCCCATCAGCGAAAAGGGGAAGAAAAGGAGGCAGCGGGGCGAAGACGACGACAGAGGTAAATTCTGCGTGCTCGTTGATAAAGTGGGCGTCCAACAGAATGTGGCTGACTGAAATGGAGCTTGGCAATTCCACAGAGAGGAGAGACCCTCCCCATGAATTCCAGAGTAAGAAGTATGGAATGCGAAGCGGGGAGAGTAGTCTCCCAACCCTCGCCACGGGTAAAAATAAGAGGGGGCCAGAAACCCTAACTCGGTTTAATAGTGAAGTTTGTTGCCGAGCTAGAGCCCAACGTTTTTCCAAAGGGTGTGAAGGTGGGAAGTTTACAGCAAAATATGTACATGGAATCCCTCTGTAAGAAAACTGGTAGGTCTGTACTGCTGCCCGCGCAGCAGTTCTGCCTGTTCTTTCCCTGTCTAAACATGCCCAGGGCCCCAAAAAAAAACCAATATCTTTTGTTAGTAAAGTCGGCTACCCAAAGTTGGTACGGGGGACAAAGGGGGTTGGGTGTAAAAAATTTTTTTATAGCCTGTAAAGCACTAAGGGATCTGAGACAACAAAATGATGACACAGGATAGATAAATAGGGAAAGTGCTGTAAGGAGGGGCATAAAATTCAGAGAAAAAATACTAGCTGAAGATGTAAATGCCTTGAGACCTGTCGGAAACACGCTGCGAATCCTACCCGTCAAAGACTTAGACCCATCTGTGACACACATGGCATGAGAATGAGAGTGAAAGTGGTCAAGAAAAAGAGAGGGGGAAGCGACCGTAGACAGTTGGGTTTCGAGCAAGGGGGGGGAAAAAAGAACAGATCGAACGCTGGGCCCTCCCAGGGGGGGGGGAAAAAAGTAGATGCTACATGTACATAGAAGGTGGTTTTAAAGAGAAGAAAAGAGCGAATGAAGGCGAAGAGAGAAGGGACGGAGAAAGGGGGGCGGCGAACAAAAAAAAGAATGTCTACTAAATCAGTGACCATTCTAAAAATGGAAGGATTGCGGAGATCATGAGAGCGCCCTAGTGCGCGGCAATGGCTCACGGCGATGGAAAAGGATGGAACGTCCTTCTGCATAGAGGCTTTCGACGGGAAAAAGGGGAGCAAAAAGCACCAAGGCTAAACGTAATCCTTGGTGATAAAGGGGGTTAAGGCTAGAGAGAGTAGCAGGGGATCCGCTGAAAGATCTGGTCACCTAATCAAGTTTCAAAAAAGGGGGGAATTAGGTGAAGGGGGGGGTTTCGACGATCAGCCCCCACGAAAGATAGAAAGGGTTTTTTAAGAAGTTCACCGGCTGTGACAATTCCCTTCAGAAGGTAATGTGAGGTTTCCAGGAAACCTACGATCAAAGGGGGGCC